CTTGCAGGAGCTCAGCCCCTGACACGCAGGACTTTGAAAATCGGTCCATTCATTTAGGAGTCCAAGCCAGAGCCAAGCACCCTTAGAAATCTGGCCTCCAGTGACTGCATTTCACTGCATTTCCTGGTACAACAGGAGACCGTGGCTGGGTGCGGAGACAAAAAGGACACATCAGCCCTGCCCTGCTACTTCTCTCTTGCTTTGTTGGTCCCATGCAAATTAGGACTCAACCAGCACATAAGGAACAGGAAATGTCCCAGGAGCCCTTCCCTGATGGATCTATATATTGCTCCTTCATTCATGCCTCTTCCTTCAAGCCCCCTACCCTTCGTGGCTTGCTGTGGCCAGGCCTGGCCCAGTGTCCTGGCTCGGCCTGGAGCTCCGCAGCTCCCGGGTGACTTAACATGAGCTCGTTCAGGCCTCAAAACACGGCAGAAGCAGCGTGACAGGCACGGAGGATCGGAGAGAGCAAAAGCAGAGCTGCGCGTGACAGCAAAAGGGGGTGGCAGGTTCAGCTGGGGCTGGGGGGGCGAGCTGCGGTTAGCTCCAAATGGAAAGTCCTTCTCTGAGGTTCACAATGGGGAGTGCCAGGAGGCAGCCCTCGACCTGCTGCAGGTGGCATCCCCGCGACTCCTCCCCGCCAGCCCGCGGCCCGGCACCTCTTTCGCTTCTCCGTCAAGCAGAGCACGGTGCGTGGGTGGGGGAGCTAACCGCACCGTGCCGCAGTTATAATTAGACACTGGCAACCCCGAGAATTCACGTCACTTCGGCTGAAAGGAAAGGAGAAGCAGAAGAAGCCGCGCGAAGGGCTGGCGGGGAACTCTGTTTCCCTCCCCTCCTCCGCATTTTCCCTTTAGGCGGGGAGGGGGAGAGCAACAACTCTGCGCTTCGGTGGCCTGGGAAGACGAGGCCGCGTGGCAGGCAAACAGCCCAGGGAGGGGTTGTGGGCAAGCCCAGCACCCTGAGACTCAGGACATGGGAGGGGGAGGCCGGCCTGGTGGTTAGAGCAGAAGCTGGCTGCAAGGAGCCCTGGCTCTTTTGCAGGCTGTAGGAGGAAGTGGGGCCTAGCTGTTAGAGCAGGTGAGTTGGAAATAAGGACTCTCTTTAGGCTTCATTTCCTTGGACCTCGGTATCCCCAGCTGGCAAATGGAGGAGAAAGTGTGTGTGTGTAACCGGTCTGAGACACTCAGGTGGACACTGCTGTAGAGGGAAAACCCAGGACAGGGTATGATTACCCAGTTTGAGACTGGGTCAGCCATTCCCTGTGGGCTAAACACAGACGGGTGAGCAAAGCTCTTTGTCCACACTGGCAGGCTGCTGCCACGGGGAAGCCACCAGACCACGGAGGCCCCCACTCCCCACCCCGCGCCCTCTGCCTCCCCGTCTCACCCTGCGGCTTCTGCCAGGCCTGCCTCATCAGCCGGGCTGGCAGGGCACAAGGCACAGCCTGGGTAGGCACCAGCTGAAGGGGCTGCAGGAGTCGGGTAGGGACACGGGCATGTCTGCAGATGCCTTCTGCACTCAGTAAAAGTGGCGTCACTGGGTGTGGTGTGGGAATGAGAGAAAAGAGAAAATGGGTTTGACACCACAGGGGAACATTTGGTGAAGAGCAGCGAGCGCCCAGGGTCAAGGAACAGGAAAAAGATCGTTTGGGTTTTACCAGCCCAGGTTCAATCCCAAGCCCCATTACAGGCAGAGGTGGCTGATGGCTCCCCACCGAATTTCCTGCTAGTCCTAATGCAGGGATGTCTGGCCCCCAACACAGCATCATTTCCCCTTCCCCCCCAAGTCTCTAGTTCAGGAATGCATTTGGCTTTTGAATTTCTTTGTGCTGACAGTGACACAACTGTTGCACACAGCGGCTGCTTTCATTGCAGAGCCAACACCACACCCTTGGCTTGGACCTTTTGTGTTTCCCAGCGGTTGTCTCCATGCTCACTGCAAACAGACCTGCGCTTTGTCATGTATTTACCATTAGTGTCTGGGTGGTGTATTTTCGCTGGGACCATTGCAGTGTCTTCCCTGTGTGTCAGCGCCACCCTAACACAAAGCAGCTCTGGATGGCCCAGCAAACTGCCCCTGCAAAATCCATTCATCACAATAACCTGGCACTCACCTGGCTATTGCTCGTACCACAAATAATTCAGCCTCTCATATTCCTGCTAGCTACTCAGACTCACATGACTTGACCCTGTAAGTAAGTTTGCAACATAATGAGCAGTAGTCTCACCTGGCAGCAGGTTTGCTGTCAAAAAGGTGCTGTTTCTGTGCAATATTTTACATGCATTCTTGACCTTTCTGAGGAGTTGCAGTCCTAGTCATACTCCCACTGGAATGTGCTGGATCTCATGCGGTTCTGGGCCTGCCACATGCCATCCCCTCTGGTTTCTCTGCAACACTGCTGACCTGAATAGAAAACCTGGATGCGCCACAGCTGTGACCTGCAGCTCCGTTACAGGTTTTTATTCACGCTGGGACCTGCATGGCTTTATTTGGCCAGAGACTGCAGTTTTCATCCCATGCCATGCTAAAACACAAAAAAGGGCTTGATGAACGGGAATGAGGGAAAAGATTTCCCTTCCCTTCCTGAAGGCAGTCACAAGAGATGGGTCAGGGGTCAAAGGGTAATGCTAGAGCTCATTGGAAATTGGTCTTCGCTGCAGAAAAACAAAACAATTTTAATCGGAAACTGTCAACTTTTCCTCGACAAACTGGAAACCATATGTTTGGTTTGTTTGTCAGAAGCTGGAAACTGGCTTTTCGTTTCTGCTGAAAATTAAAAATAATATTGGTCAAAAACCAACAAGGCATTATGATGAACAATCTGAAATGTTGAAGGAAAGCCCGGGTTCCTACAAAAATTGTTGTTTTGTTAACATTTTAATTTATTTTTTTGGCAGAAAAGGAAATTAGGCGTGGAATCAGCATGTGGCCTGGTTCATACCTGCGTGCTGAGAAGGGCAGTCACGGACTCCAGCAGCTTTTTGTACCTATGTATTGTACAAGGAACTGGTCTGACCTGAGCTGTAAGGGCTTCTCTTCACTTGCAGAGCCAGCTTGGGCTCTTACTTGAATATGTTCAAATGCAAAACCCTCTGGGCTGGGTGCTGTGCTTCTCTACCCCAGAGCCAGCTGGCCCAGCCACAGGTACAAGATAAAGCCAAGAGCTGCTTCCTCTCAGACTGTTAAGCTGCTTGCTTTGGAGAATGGCTGAATCACTCGAGGGCTGCAAGTCCTCCCCTTGCCTTGCCGTAATTCCTCCTTTATGCTGGGATGGACGCAGTTTTCTCCCATAGGTCCCCAGGAGAGAACCACAGAGCTGCTCAGCCTTGCAGCAGCACAAGGAACCACGGGATGCCAATCCTAGAGACGCATACGGGGGGTATGGATGCAGCTTTGCAACCAGGTCCATCTGGGCACGTTTCACTCTGTGGCCTGCTCCACGGTGATGTCTTCCCTATCGAAAAGGCACATATTGACACGTGTTATTTATTGCACTGTAAAAATTAAGAGGAACCCTTGATTTGGCAGACAGGACACGAGCCCAGGAGACATTCTGAAACGGAGACCGACAGGGACTACAAACACTGCTTTGATGCAATGGCTTTTACACAGGGCAAGCGTTCCTCGTTCCCAGTCTAGTGCTGCATCTACAGGCAGCCCTGCCTCCCTCGTGCCTCTGTGCCATCTCCTAGGCCGTATTCTGCAGGACGTGGCCCTGTGGAGCAGAGCAATGCGCTTTCCTGCTCTCTGCTGAGAACGACAGGTCTGTGTGGCAAAGGGAACATTTCCCAAGTCCCAAAGAGCTTGGTTTGGGGGCAGTCAACAGGTTGCAAGGGGAGCTGGTAAAGAATCCCACCCTGGTGACATGGGGGCATTTATACCTGGCAGGAGAAGGGGGAGAGGCCCAATCTGCTCATGTGTATGTGCGTGGGGTGCTCCATGGAGTGGCCACCTGGGCAGGGGAGAACTATACCTGCATTTCCGTGCCCACCTGGACTGGACTCTGGGTGTGAGCCTGTCCTCAGGCAGAGGAAGCTTTCTGGGCAAGATAAGGGCCTGGGAAGTGCAACGAAGACGCTCTGTGCTGCAGCCTTCAAACCAGCCCCCGCTGTGCCATTCTCAGGGCTGTTGAAGCACAGCTTCCTCCTCAGCAGCAAAGAGAAGCCAGGGAGCTGCAGTGAGATACAAGTGCGGTGGGGTGGGCTGGGGGGGAGGGCACAGGAAGCCGGATTAACGGCAGGCACTCATGAAATCTAGGGCAGTCCCATCTGTCAAGCGTCGCCAGTTTGAATCTAGCTGCGGGTGTCTCTACCCCATCCCCCATCCAGCTCTCACGTTATTCAGAAATCCGAGTGGCCTGTCACCCAGGGGTCCCTGTCTTATCTTTCTCGCTAGCACTATTAGGGATATGCAGCGAGGGCTTGGCTGCTGGGCTTGCTTTTTGTGGGGGGACATGGACCGATGGGTGCTTCAGGGAATTCTTATGCAGCCTTCCTTAACCCTCACATGCCTACTGTTTGTACACACTCCCCCCGCCCCTTGCACACACTCGCTGCTGGACACTCAGCTCCCTGGACACAGCAGTTTCGCCAGTGTTCGCAATTTTCTCATATAATGATGCCCCTTAAACCCAAGTGAGGTCCCACATGAGCGTCTCAGCTTGCATTAAGAAACAAGAATGTCTAGATTTCCTAGGTGCAGAGAAAAAGTACAAATCTATGATCTGGGCATGTCCCCGAGAGTCAGAAACCACAGAACAAATGAGACGAGCCCACAGTGAGCTTAGTTATTTTTTAAACTCGCCTGCTGTTCAGCCAAACTTATGATTTAGGCTGGGTCTGACTCATGATTTTTGCCCATTTGGTGTTAGCAGCCTGGGGACGATCACCATCCTCTAGCTTCTGTCCCGTTCGGTAAGAGAAATGGCTGAGTTGTTTCAAAGAGTTTATGTTCGGGGTGCGTGTGTGTGTGTCTGTGAGGCAGAGAGCAGCGTGCCCTTCATGACGGAAGAAGGGCTTGTTGAGGGCAAGTCACAGAGCTGGCAGCTGTGCTGAGGTCTGGACACGGGATGCTCTGCGGGTCCTTCTCTCTGGCGGCAGTGACTTCCATAGTCTAGTTCCATTTCCCATGAACATTGTTTCTCCCGGCTGCCCTTAGCTGTACACGGTGTCAGTGTCCTTGTGATGTGCAGCTCTCATAAAAGTCTGCAATCATGACAGTTTGGACTGGTCCCTTGGAGACCGCTGAATATCACAATGGAGACCTGCACTAGACTCTGCACCCCTTGGGGAGCACCGCACACCAGAGCAGTGGGGTGATGACCATGATGTCCTGTAGTGCTACAAAGACGGGCTGCTGGGCTCCGTGCCACGGGGAGCCCTTTCGGGGTGGAGGGCTTCATTTCTAGACAGAAAGATTTGCTAGACCCTGTATGGTAGAGGCATGAGTAAGTCACAGGCAGCCTGTAAAAGGGGTTGGAGCGCTTGCCACATAAGTAAGTCACAGAGATCATGTAAGAGAGGTTAGAAGGCTGACCACATAAATCCTGTCAATGAGCCTAGCAGCCTAACCACTTAGGTAAGGCGTCGAGAGAATCTAAGAAACTGTAGAGGGCTGACCACATAAATAAAATCCATTCGAGGGGCTAGAGCGCCGACCATAGAGGGACTTTAAGGATGGGTAGAGCACCAACCACCCTCAAGATGCTCTAGGACGGTGGGTCTCAACTTTTTTTGTACCAGGACCCATTACTAAACATCCATGCCCAGTCCCGACCCAGTGCCCCTCACTCCCAACCCACTGACCTCCCCCCCACACCAAGGTTTGGGATAGGGGGTGGGTGTGTGGGACATGGGAGGACCCCAAGCAGCCCCTTGCAGGGTGGATCTCTTCCAGCCTGCAAGGGGAAAGCCAGTTTCCCCACGTCTTTCTCCTTTAAAGGAAAAATCCATTTTTAAAGTTTGTTGAGCCACGTTTAAAGTTTGTCTGCCATCCTTTCACCTATTCTTGCGACCCACTTCTGGGTTTGACCCACAGGCTGGGAAATGCTGCTGGAGGAGAGGCTAGAGTATGCTTGAACCATAGAGGAGCATTGCAAAGGGCTAGGATGCCGACCACATGAATAAGCCCCAGAGAGGGCTGCAGTATGGACCACAAACCATGAGAGAGGCCAGAGCACTGACCCTTTAGCTAGGGCAGTTACAGTGGAAAGCCAAAAATGGAAACAAGCAAAAAGCAGCGCTGACATCTGGCCATTTAAATCATACCTGCTTGAAATGTTCATGTTTTTCCTGTGCAAAATGTGCGCGTGTGTGTGAAAAAGGGGGAGGGGGGGAGGGCATTTTTCAGCAGATTCACATACTCCAAGCACCTGGTGACCTTGGTTTAGCTTCACAGCCACCAGACATCTTATCTCCACATCGCATTTAGCTCTGAGCACAAAACCATTTTGGCTTCCCCCCGCATTCACAGGCTCGGGGACCGACAACATGGTGTTACTTCACCAGACGAGCTAATTTGTGTGCCTTCCTCTTGCCATAATGCATGAAGTACAGCCTGCTTCCATGTCTCGCTGTTTTAAACTTCCAGTGTATTTCAAGGGTTAATTCAGGTGTCTTCCCCCCCGCCCCCAGCTCTGTTTTTCATTTCCTGAATTAGAGACCCAGCTTCCTAGGAAGGAATAAAGGGACGGGGAGAACAGGAACAGTTATGCACTATCTTCTCTTTATTTCCATGATTGGTGAAGGAAGAAATGGCCTGTGGATTTGTGCAGGAGCCAAGAAGAAGGGAAACAAAAAGAGCAGCCATACATTCAGCTATTAGTCACATTTCGTCTCCCAGACTTAGCATTTTCCTCACACCTGCTTTCAAGGTTGCAGTGTCTGAGGGCACCATAAAAACCCTTTGATTTTCTGGAGCTGCAGGCTTTCCTCCTGCTTTGGGCAATACCCATGTGATCTGGCATGTTTTAAATGGCTGCGCTCCTGCCAAAAGAGCTGGTGGGCACTGTGGCTTGGCTGGCTCAGAGCAGCAGTTTGCTGCCGGGGGTGGAGGAGTGCGGGGCACGGTGGTTAGTAGGGGCTCTGCTTCACAAGGAAGCTCTGGGAGGGGATGGGGAATTCATTCAGGCATGAGGTCTTCTTTCTGCCCTTCCAGTCGGCACAATAAAAGCCTGGCCCAAGGCGCGGGCTCAGCTGATGATCCTGAACACGGGGATCCACCTGCAATGAGAGCCCTTCACATGTCCGCCAGCGAGTGCTCCCGTGGCTCTTCAGTGCAAATGATGCGTCACCGAACCCCGTCCTGCCCTGTATGGTCTTTGTTTTACAAAGTGGGGAAACTGAGGCACAGAGAGGGGATATGACTTGCTTCGCTGCAGAATGGGGACTAAAGCCCAGTGCTACCTTCTCCTCCCAGTGCCTCTTAGAGATTGGGAGAGTCGCTTTACTGGACAGTTGGTTTTCTGCAGGCATCTGTTGGGCTTTCGAGACCAGGCTGGCATGGAGGGGGCAAACATCTTTACCACTGTGCATCTCCCTACCCCCTCAGACCTGCTGCCTCTGCTGCTGCTGCCTCTGCGGTTTCTCTTACCTGCTCCAGGAGGCCAGGCGCCTGTTTGACGAGCGAGATGCAGCAGGCAGGATGTCACCTCAAACCTCAGAGAGGAGCGGTCGCCAGGGGAGGGGGAGGATTTGCAAGTCACTGTATGTAAACACGGGCGCTCCTCTCCCAACCGTCCGCTTCCGCCGCCTCACAACTGTACGCGCACCTCGGCCTCACGTCGCAGCGAGTGTCTGGGGGCAAGGTGGCTCCTGCCAGCTGCTCTGCTCCTCCTGCTAGATCTTGCCATCGGCCCCTGGCAGAGATCTGATGGGCTCCCACACAGGGCGCATCTTCATCCGAGATGAGCCAGAGGGCCAGCAGGATGCCTGTTGCTTGGGGCTGAGCTGCCTTGAGAGCCCCTGGGGAGTCACACCAGCAACCCTAGCTGGGAAACACTGGGAAACTGGGAAGACCATTTGCTTTTGCTTGTGCACGCGGGAGTGCCGCAAGGAAGTCCAGGTATCTAACGTAAAATACGGCCCTCGCCCACACCCAAACACTGACCCCCCGTTCTGGGCACGTCCCACCTGCCAGCCTCCCTGCCCTCCCTGTGAGGGTCAGCAAGGAAAAGACTGCGCCCCACACTTGGCAGCCCTTCTAGTTTTGCCAGGATAGGTCTTCTCCACCCTGCTGACCAGGTCTCAGCGGGTGTCCACGGATCAGCCAGAGGGCCACCGCCCGCTGGCCTTCCCCGAGTGTCTGATGTGCAACCTCTGGGATTTTAGGACATGGCTTTAGAGAATCACTTGGGAGGCATTGGCATGAAGAAGGAGGCTGCCCCTTAGGTCTGGTGCCATTCCTGTCCTGCATGCCTCTCAGGGTCCTTGAAAGAGAGTCTCCCTGCTTGGGGCTGTCCCTTCCTTGGTTGGCCCCTGCTCCTGCTGCTGAAGGAGCACCCATCTTCCCACCTGAAGACGTCTGAAGAAAAGCCTCTGGCTTCTTAATCCCCTCGGGGCCTGTGCAGCATGCCACTTCATGCCCAGCCCCGGCTGGCTTGAGGGGCAAGAAGCCGCGGCTCAGATAACACAGACTGGGCTGTGCTAAAACCTCTCTGGGATCATGAGGAAGTAAAGGTGCTTTGTCCTTATAGTAAGGGCCGGGGGACCCACAGCCCTGGGCTCTGCTTTCAGCTCCCAGCAGGAGTGTGGGCAGGGCACTCCCCAGTGCTGTGCCTCCATTTCCCAGTTGCAGTAGCTGGCTTGGTTCTCACTTGCTGCTCTCCAGCAGCTGGCCCAGTGGAGCAAACATCATGGCCTGCTCACTGCCTAATTAATCCTCAAAACAGCTCTTTACAGCAGACAATATCCTGGCTTAAAGATGGGGAAACGGAGGCCCAGACCACCTGCCTGGTGTCATGGATAAAGTCAGTGGCAGGGGTGGGATCAGAATCTGAGAGAGCTGCCTTGTGGGTCGGCTTCTCCATGGCACTTATCACCTGATACTAATCCTTCGAACACTGCTGTGAGATCAGGAAACTGAGGCACACAGAGGTTGGGAGACTTACCCAGTCAGCGCGTGGGACAGGGCCCAGTTCTCTTAAGTCTCAGTGCAATGCCTGAGCTTTAATGCCTCCGTCGGCTGCCTCTCCACCATCTCCTCTTTTCGATCTCTCAGAATATGGTCTAGGGGTACCATTGTTGATCAAATGCTGATCCTCAGGGGGGTGAAAAATTCAGTGACAAACAGCAGGCTCTTGATTACAAGCACCCAAGGCTGTCCGAAGTCCGAACCGGGTCGGCCAGGGGCAAGTGTTCATCAAATGTCCACTGACTTGCACCACTGATGCAGCAGGGACTCTCACCACCTGGCCAGTGAGGGCACACAGTGCCGCGGGTTGGTTTCCTCTGGTTTCTACACGATCATCACCTGCAGCCAGTTAGCAGCAGTGATGTGAGTTGGGGTGGAAGATGGCCTGGGGCAAGAAGGGAGCACCTGAAGGGTGGCCCAATACGTGGCTTCTGAAGGACCCCGGTATGGACTACGGGAGGGTAGGAGTTTTGCTCCACTAAGACAAGGAGCAGGAAGACTGTTTCCTGACAGTTTGAGGCACTGTCAGCAGCAGACTGCAAGGGATCCCGTGATTAGCTTGCAACCCGCCAACCTCGACTCCCCGGAGCCTTGCCTGGGACGGGAGTGATGTACTTGGCTCGGAAACAATGTGACAAATGAAATAACTTTCAAGACCCGGCTGCATCCTCATTTTGAATAGCAGAGGGGTAGGGGGGAAGTGGGCGGTGGAAGCCCAGCCTCACAGCCACATATGGTGCTTTGCAGTGCCCGCCGTTGCCAGGTTCCTGGGTACGGGCGATCCGCTGCAGGGCACTGGCATGCGGCACCTACACCGTGGCTTCACAGCTGCTAAGCAGCAATTGGAAAGGCGCTTGTTTTGTGTGGCATGTGCCCAAGTTGTGCACGCACTCACACACGCAAGGCACACAGCCATCCCCACACGCTCAAATATACACACCCCATTGGCAAACCAGCACTCTCCCATGTAGCCTATGGCCACATCCCACCTCTGACACAAATGCATGTTTCACCCCCGCACGCACACTCAACAGCCCCAACACATGCACCTGCGTGCTTCCCAACACGTAGCCATCACAGCAAGTGCACACACACTGTACGAACGTCATTCCTGCTGGACGTGTGTGGGCCTTTGGCTTTGCCTGCCCTGGCTGGCTCCTTGTGAGGGTAAGAGTCTACTACTGCTGCTGGAGTTACTCCTTTAGCTCAGGGAGTAGGTGAGGTGTGAGGCTACATGCACAGGAGACAGGGAAGTGCCCAAGTGCTACAGTAATGGGCCTCACTGAGGACTTCACGTGCTAGCTCCATTTCCCCTGTCCCACCAACGTCTTGGCTGAAGTCTGTGGATGCTTCTGTATAGCAGTATCCCAGGGCAGCAGCAATATCGTCCCCATGTGGTGGATAGCTGGGCAGGGCCTGGCTGCCGGGCAGTGGGTGGGTGTTGGGATCCCTGGGGCCCTGGCTCATTCCTCTGGGCTCATCTTCCTGGGCTCTTTCAGGACCTGACCTGAGCTCCCAGGGATGACAGGGAGGGCAGCAGGGTGCACCGACGCTCTGTGCTTCATGGCCCCGACAGCCTGGCAGAGCAAGGGGCAAGGTTTGCCCGTCACTCTCTGCCCGTGCCCATGGTGCATCAGAGAGATCAAGCCAGGGCACCGTAGGGACTGAGCTCCCACGCGCTGCCCGAACACTTGCTGCCTGAGCACTGGCGGGCTCCGGCTCTGTCCTCAGCTGTCAGCAGCCGTGGGTGAGGTATTGTCTTGCTCTGGGCCCCACTCTTCCCATGTTCACTTTGGGGCTAGGCAGGATTTGAATTGCACTTTGACTCTTGCGGGGGTCTGCAAAAGAAAATGGGCTGCCCATCACAATGCCCTAATAGAAGCGGAGACCCCCGCAGGTTATGATTTTCAAATCTTGCAGCGACTCCCCTGTAATTCAAACCCTGGGGCTGGGGAAGGGGAGGGGGCTGGTCTTCCATCACTTGCCAGGGCAGAGCTGGTGGCTTCCTACCCAGGGCTGCCTGCCACCTCATTGCAGCCCCATTGCATCTTGTCTGCTGTTTCCTTTGGGTGTGTGGTGGGGGGACTTGCCTGAGATACAGGAGGTACAGACACATGCTGCCCCCCATCTCGGCATTCCCAACCACGGCAG